TAATTCATATACAAAATTGTAGAGATTTTAAAAAATTTTATATTTTATTGAAATATATAATTCGGTTAAAAATGTACTAAAAAAATTATTTTGTGTCTTTTTGTTAAAATTTTGTTTTAGCTAAATAAAAATTGAATTTACTATTTCACAATAATTTAGTGTTGATTCTTACTTTTTTTTTTATTCTTGAACTGAATTTTTTTGTATTAATTTCGGCTTAATAATTTTTTATTCCAATTATATTTTGCCTCTATCATAGATATTTATGGCTCCCCCTTGACAATATACATTTTTTTTTGAAATTTTTTATGTTAAATGGACTTCATATATCAAATATAATATAATAAATATAAATATGTTATATAGTGTGATTGGTTAGAAGGAAAAAAATTTGAGTGTATAATTAAAGTGCCCGCTTTGAACAAAATTCCTGGTTCTGCCACTGCCCACAATCACCGTCATTACCCCACCCCCACTTCCACTACCCCAGCGCCCCCCCTCGCCACCACCACCACCACTGTCACCTACTACTGATTACTACCACTGTCGTTCACTATTCCCATCCACCATCGATTACTACCACCATCGTCCACTGCTATCATTCACCACCATCGTCATCTCTCATTATTTTATTTATTACTATTACCACCATGATCTCACTACCATCATCATTCACTGTCAGCACTGTGACACCCCAAAATCAGGTGTCTGTAATTACCCGATTGATTATCCATCAACCTGCGGAATACCTATGGTAATTCGATACCACGCCGTTATATCCCATTTACTGGGTTCCATAACTTAACTAAATTTGAGCAGAGTCTCCTTTGTACGAGGAGTCTACCCAAAACGCAACTTGTAGAACATTGACCATACCGGGTCTATCAATCCATTCACAATTGTAAAGTATCGAATACTATCATAATCATCATCATTACGTACATTCATTCATAAAAGAATAAATGTCCTAAAAGAGTCTCATATATATGCATTTTTAATATAAAAGAAGTTTTTTTGTTTACAAAAAATTATACAAGGTCAAAAATAAACATATACAAGGGACTGCAAAGTTAAAATAAGAGCCACAGACCTGCTCTGTCGTCAAAGCGGGCCCATGGCCTCGCCTTTCGGTGGACGTCTAGGTGATACTTGAAAATTTTTTTCATAAATGATGAGTCAACGCTCAATAGGGTAACTCCTATATAGAATATCTCTCAACCCAAATGTATATGAAATGTCACATGCAACAATTATTTCATGCATTCATTCAAACATGTCAATTATGAACAAATGTTATAAATTATGTCATGCCATAAGATGAGACTCATGCAAGCAATACCCACATCAAGCCTCATCCTGAGCTCCCACAACACATGCAATGTCATGTGTATGTATCCGGGCATTCCAAGCCCCTGTCATTGGAGTTATGTACATTCAATAATTAATTAATTCATTTTCTTGTGTTTTTGTGGGGAGATGATTTATGATATTACACCAATGGGACAACAACCATCAACGGATTCTCAGGACATCCCACCTGCGGCTCCGTTTTGGCCGTTACACTTTTTTAGAATTTCATCGCCGAAAAGTGTATCAACCAAGTAAGCGGGTCTTGCACCCGAGGAAGAATCTAGCCCTTCTTGCTATCTTTGACACATTTATCCATTTAATTTTTTCGTGTGACTCAACCGGACCTTGGTGCGAATTTTCCAAGCCCACAAATCAACCACCTATATGGTGATTGATTTCATACCATGCACACACTGTCACCCATGTCAATGCCCATGAATGTAGTGCAACTCATGCATAATGCAATACAATGTGTTATTGTATTTGGTACCATTTACAATTCTCATTATATAATGAATGCAATATAATGACATTTTCAACACAATCTCAAGCATGTTATGTACGATAATCAACTCAACTAACATATTTGTATTCACCTAGGCATTTAAACAAACACATAGAGGGCATATTCAATTTACACAACTAGCATGTTTATTACTTCCATTATGACAATATGTTTATTAATTATATAAACATAAGCACAAGTCCACCACAATAATTATATGCTAAATAATCATTTAACATACATATCATTTCATAATCACATAACAAACTAATAATTTTATTAAACTTGATATGCAATTAAAACATAAAGTAATGTAATAATAATTTAAAGGTTAATTACACAAAGTTAATTATAATAAAATTTTATTAATTACAAGGTTAATCACAAATTCTATATTTGACCAACTAATTACACTAGTCAAGGTCTAACATGTGATATACACCCTTAGCCCACCCATTTCATATGTCATATTTTAGATTAAAATTTAATCTAAATAGAGAGAACCCTACCTCTCGTAGCATGAGTCCACTTAATAGAACTCCAAGGAAGCCTAAATTTAACTTCCTAAGTCTTAGGCCTAGATTATCGTCTTTGATATTCTTTCGAAAAAAAATAAGATATTTGATGTAGTTGCGTAGCTCTCGCTGAGTATAGTAACTTTAATTCTTGACCTGAAGCGATTAAATGGTCCAATCTTCGTAGATCTAAAGAAAAAAAAAAAAGAGAAAAAAGAAAAACTCTTTTCTCTCTTTCACTTCACTCAGCAGCCGTTGGCGAAAGAAAAAGTAGTTTTCCACTTATTTATATATAGTATAAATTTATTTTTTAAAAAATTTATGTTTTTGACTCTTATACTAACAATTAATTATTATTTTACCCCTTTAATTAAGATTTTTAATAATAATAATAATTTATTTATTTTTTTCGAATTTTACAAGCACCTACCATGACCCACTGCCACCCATTACCACCACCCACCCCAACCATCACTGTTTTCTACCACTACCGCCATCGGCATCAGACACCCGCACTACATTCGGTGCTTAAATTTCTTTCTCTTCTCTATATTTGTGATTTGATTTTAGATGTGAATATAAATATGTTTATTGTTAACTATTTTTTTTATTATTCCGTACCTTCAGACACAGACAATAATTAGTGTTTTTATATAATCCCTCAAACAGAAAACATCCAGATTGCTAACGATTTTTTATCATAAGCTTGTCACGTAATACCAAAATATGGATAAAAAATAATTTTGATATCTCTTAAAAAAATTTGAGTAACTCTCGACAAAAAATGTATAATATGGGTAACTTTTTACCAAAATTGGGATAACTCATGATCAAAATTATATAATTTGAGTAGATATTTAACTAAAATTTAATTAAAAATTTAGTCAAAAGTTATCTAAATTATTTTTTTTGTCCATATTTAAGTATTATGTGATAAGTTTATAATAAAAAAATTATTAACAATTTAGATGCTGTCTATTTGATGGACCATATAAAAACATATTTAATACTTTATAGACCAAAACGATGCAATTGAAATATTGAAGAGCAAAATGAGACAAACTCATTCTTTAGGGACCTCCTGTACAATTAATCATATTTTTAAATTTTACAATTAAAATTCATGTTCTATTATTACATTTATTGAAATAATATTAAAAATAAAAATCTAATTTTTAAAAAAAATCATAATTAATATACAATTATATTGTCTATTGGAATTTAATTTGATCGTTTAAATTGTAAAATTCGAGAAAATTTGAATTTTTTTTTATGAAAAATGGTAAAATGATAATTAGCACTTAATAGTTATGGTACGGGTTGAAAATTTAAATTTTTCTAGAACTCGGATGGTTAAGCGGACCTCACCGTTGAATTCGTCTCGCGAAATTTAATTGCCCAATCAATTTTCGTTAAATTTTGAGATAATCGAATTTTTCTCATTTTTCGATATGATCGGTTGTTGGGTGATCAAAGTAAAAGCGATCGATAAATAAATTGTGAAACATGAAAAATAATTTAAAGTTCAAATAAAATATATTTAATTTAAAACGGGTACTTCTGCGGGTTGATGAGTGATCAACAAGTTGATAAATGACTCCCGATTTTAAGGGCGTCACATAAACGACCAAATTAAATTATCAAATTACCCCAATTAAAGCTAAAATATATTGTGTCAATTATAGTTTGACCCCTTATTTTATTCTAATAGATAATATAATTGTATACTCATTATAATTTTTTAAGAAAATTTATATTTATATTTTTAATTTTATTTCAATAAATGACATAATAGAACATGAATTTTATCAAAATTCATGTTCTATTATGAATGACTTAGACCCCTTATTTGATTTTTTTAGTTTTATTCAAATAGATAGTATAATTGTATACTAATTAGAATTTTTTAAGAAAAAAATAATTTTTTATTTTTGATTTTATTTCAATAAATAATACAATAAAATATGAATTTTGATATTAAAATTTAAAATATTTGATATTCTATCTTTAATTGGAGTATTTTTTATTTAAGTATAATATTTTTAACTTGAAGGGCCTAAATATTATACGCTAATAATTTTTTGGGGGTTCAGGTACAATTTACTAACAGATATATATATTTGACGATAGGAGTTCAAGTGTTATGTATATACAATTTTTAGGGATATGTATATAATATTTTAAATATCACGAAATCTGAGACATTAACCGACAAACTTCTGAAGATTTGAATATAATTTTCTAAAAAAAATAACCAAGCCAAACTCCCCAAAAATAACATAATTTATTATCAAAATATAGCATTTTCAAACAAAAATTTTAATCTATCACACTTTTAAACTTATTTATTGATCTAAGACAATTTTTGAAAGCGAAATTTCCACTTTTGCTTTCAACAAGTAATACAACGAAAAAGGAAAAAAATATTTTTATAAGTATTAAAAGTGACCTTGTTGATTATGCTTTGGCGGTGAAAACTGAATTATTGATTTTATTTTTAAAAACTATAGTATATTGGTAAATATATTTAAAAGTGTGGTAGATAAATATTTTTATTTGAAAATGACAATATTTTGGTAATAGATTCCAAAATAACACCGCCGGTTCGTCCCGACTCAATTGCTGACCTATTTTTAAATTGCTCATTTGGAAGTGGTGGTTGGGGCTCGACAGAACTCATGGCTGCATCCAAAGAAGTACCATGGAAATGGGTAAAATTCTCCTTGACACTGGCCTTTGCTGCTATCTCTGCATCAACAGCTCTCTCTGGTACTTCATCTTTCTCCCTCTCTAAAACGCCCTTCACTGCTAGTAATCTTGCATTCAAGAGTCCCCCACTATTATTTTTGGATTTTGGAATTAAATATCTGTATAATCAGTGTATTTTTGGAGAAGCAAATGGAGAAACGTGAATGAGAAGGTTCGAGAGCTTGAGTTATCTTTGAAAGGGTCACTGGAGAAGTGTGCTGCTGAGAGGCAAGGTCGTATCAGAGCTCAACAGGTATATACCCTTTTACCTATATCCTGTATATATGTGAAAATATATGGTATTTGGCATGGCTAATGTGGGTTTGTATGGCAAAAATATTATCTTGTGGGCATTTAGATACTTCAGCATGTATTGTGGGATATAGGCATGCCTTTGAGACATGTATGGATGTAACCCATATCACTATATCAGGAATTATGTGATTTTTTTTCCTAGAATGGGATTCAATAAATGACCTTGCGACTAATTACAATTTTTCTGTGTATCATGATTGGTCGTGGCTATGGTTTACTTGGACTCAATTTCTATTAGACTAGTTTGTCTATGAAGAGAGCTTAAGAAAATTAGGATTCTCATGCCTTGCATAATATGGATTCCAAACATTCATGATCTGGATGTGAATGAGTCGAATTACTTATCTCACGAGGTGCTTCATTTTTTGAAGTCTTACAGTACTGTAAGGTCAAAGGAAAAATTGAACTAGGCTTTTGAGTCATTCACTTCCACATGAGGAAGCTCATGCCCTCAATGCCGAAGGGCATGCCTGTGTATTTAACACGAGGAAAGAAGAAACAGAGAAGAAAAATGGGTCTGAACCATATGTTGCAAAGTGGTCTGTATTTAATGGCTAATTATTCTACTATCAAAAACTGAATATCTTCTGTAATTTTATTCGTCATGTCCATTTTAAGTTTCTCTATTTAAGTCGCTTCAAATGTGATGTATATAGGGTGTGTTTGGAAGTTTCCTTCAGTTTGATGACCCTATTGTTTATGGCATGTGAAGTACTTTTTAACTACTTACAAGGGGGACAACAGATAAAAACGGGAGACTATATTTTCTATATGTTATGTATTGGATCACATAATTGGAATAAAAAAAATTATACTTCAATCATTATTTGTCATAACGGCTGTCATTTTTTTGATAGTTCCTGTTCATTATAAATCTATAGATTTCCACCTTGGTGTGTCAAAAATTAAAGAAACCATTCCTGTTGCGTGGACATGCAAGCATGCCATTAAAGGATTTAGCTATTAAATGTTGAGAGTTTATTATTCAATATGTAATAAATAAATGTCCAATATGAATATGCCAATTTTCTACCTTGTGGTGTAGGTGTACACCATTGTCAATGATTATTATGTTGGTTTGAAGGTCTGTTTTTGGTTTAAATTTTGGCAAATCAGATCCCCAGTCTTTTGCTCATGTCTTGTAAATACAATGAAATTGGAAATGCCGTTTGCAAATTATGGAAACATTTTGGTCACGGATTATTAAGAAGTAAAAGATTTTGTACATTGCACATGATGAGTTTGTAAGGAGTCTGGCAACCTTTTCTGCTTCTCTCAGCTGTGAATTGTCTTCTTCCTTATTTGCCCTTTGTTAGCTATCCAACCACATTATGGAATATTGGTCTGATTTGACCTACAACAATTTTCGTTTTTTTCCTTGCATTATCTTTCAACTTAAATAATTTCTTTTCACTGCAGAAAGTTTAGAAGTTCAAGCTCCTAGGTAACTACAAATTGCGAGAAAAATAGATTTCTAGTTGTTTACCATGGGTCTTAGTGGAGATATTTTATTTTGCATCCAACTTGAATTCTTGATTGGTGCTATACTATAGTCCAGTCTCTACCTATATGGGTAATGATGCAGCTATATGTTGCTATTAATGTCTTTTGTATATCATAAAGTGCTGCAGTGAAACATTATGCCCTGATGTTTCAAATTTCCAATGTTGCCCAATTATATTGTAGGCTTTAAGGAAAGCACTGGTCCAACCTAAGTCTGACAGTTTGGAGTTGACATCTTATCCCATGGCACCTATTGCCATCATTCAGTCATGCTTCTCCACCAGGTAAATTGGGAAAATGAATGATATTTTCATAACAAGAAACACTGAACAGTAACCCAAATATGGGACTTTTACAAGTGAAAGCGACCTAGATAGATAATTCAGTTATAATGAGTGAGGTGTATAAGGTAGACGATAATTTACGTGAAAGTTCCAGTTTTTCTTTATTTCTCTTTTGTTTACCATCTCTATGAAATACAATAAAATATATGGGTCAAACAATAATTTTTATCTTTATACCTGCTAAAGTAAAATAGGTCACTTAGACAAGCTGTCGCAGAGTGGAAATTTACTTGATTATGCAACACTGCAGCTCCTTGTACACATAATGAATGTGATGTCACTTGTAAGGATTTTTGCCAAACCTAAATTTAAAGAACATGGATTCAATGAGGTCGTTCAGCATTGTTTTTGAATGCAGATTGAACTAAAAAAGGCTTTAAAGTTGATCCGTAGATAGCTAGTTTGAGCCACAGGATTGAATTGCCTTTTACATGGCATGGGATGTTGTATAGTTTTGTTGTAATTCATATGAAGTCTGGTTAGTATAAAGGATAGATCCAGGCTCCAAAAAAGGAAATATTTCGTATCGACCGTGAAAGGAATATTCCTGAATTAGTGTTGACTTGGAGTTGGGATAAGCATGGGGACAAAATGTGCGAGCCCAGACTGGACTTTCAAGCTTAATTTGGATGTGTTTCAATCAAATTGTGCTTGGCACTGACCTAGAGCTTGATTTCTCAGTATATGATGAACTTGCGTTTGTAAACAAGCTCAATTGAGTTTCTTGATTAAAACAACTAAACTTTCAAGTTAAACCTACCTTTAGCAATGCTTATTCATATCCACAATGTATATAATGAGTTTACTTGTTTATTATATCCGTGATCTATACAGATGCTAACTCTGTTTTTTAGAATGTGTTTTTGGATTAAGTTGCTTGTAGCTGTTTTGTTGCTATTGCAACACCTATCTCATTCTTTTTCATTGCATAGAGCTGTTCCAAACATGTGCATTAAGCAATTGAGGTCCTGTTTACACTTGAGGTTGACTTGTTACTTTGGCAACAAAAGTGAGCAAACCTTAACTGGATGAAGCTAAGATGATCACAAGTAGCTTGGTTTATCTTAGAATTGTTCAGAAAAGCACAGCCTGTAACACACTCTCCTTATATCTATGTGTGCATCCCTTTACATACATCTCTGTCTTCGTTTGTTTGTTTGAACAGGTATAGTATTTTGAAATTGCTTGTGTGGTGACCCATAAATGAACTCCTCATCTGTGCAGAAATGGAACACCGAGACAACCTTTACTTGTACCTCTTGCCAGGGCACGCTTGATATTTAATCTGGCTAGGGTTCCTCCAGCATCTCTTCAGGGTCTTGAAGAGTATTCTCATTGCTGGATTATATATGTATTCCATCTAAATACAGATCTTGAAAAGTTATGGAAGCATCCATCTAAGTCAAAGTTCAAAGCAAAGGTATGTGGTTCTACTACAGTGATATATTAATTAATTTTGCTTCTATTTGTATTTCTCTTAGACCAATTCAAAATATTGGATGGATATATAGGTCAGAGTTCCAAGATTGAAAGGTGGAAAGATGGGAGTCTTTGCTACAAGATCTCCACACCGCCCATGCCCTATTGGGCTTACTGTTGCAAAGGTAAGTTGAATTGAAGTGCATTGATGCTTCCCATATGCTCAAAGCTAGTCAGCTCCTTTTTGTTTTTGATAAGCCTCCCTCACCCTAAAAAAGGTGTATTGGCAGATATGCGGGTATTCGATGGAACTAATAAAGGCTGAAATACATGAACACACTTTAAAATCTATATCCATGTTGACATGCTAAAAGTTCCTCTGTAGGAGCATTTTCCCTGACGTTTGTAACCTTTATTTCTCCTATCAAACAGGGTTAACCCTACCATATTAATGTGAATTTGAAGAGGCTCTTGTGAGAAAGGTTACATCCTGCTTATGAAGCAAACCGAAGGTTCTTGTCATGGGTTGCATCTCTTAGTCAGCCTTAGTTCCTTCCTTGTTATGATGTGTGGTAGAACATTTCTGAATCTATTGAACTCAGGGAGGTTTCCTTGCCTGCATAAGTAGAAAAAGGCCAAATCCATTTCCAAATTACTTTGATGCTTGATGGTAGCATCATGCACTTTACACATGTCCGCTCAGCCTGACCATGCTAACATAATCTCATTTTGACATTTCATTTTTTTCTTTCAGAAATCCGATTTTGAATGAAAAACCTACTGTGAACTAGATTTACTACTGAAAGTGGAGTACTACATGTTAATACATATCTACTCTTTTCTTTATTAGGTGGAGGCAGTGCAGGGACATACGGTTCTACTTTCTGGTGTGGATCTGGTTGATGGGACGGTTAGCTTATATTTGACTTACTTTTAGTTACACTATGTGAAGATCTCTCTCTCTCTCTATATATATATATATATGTAGAGAGAGAGAGAAAGTTACTTTATTATAAGTTATGTATACATGTCATTTGTAATATTCTTTGATTGCAACTTACTGTTTGAAATTTTATTACAGCCCATTCTTGATATCAAACCTTATCTACCATACTGTGACAGCATTGATGTAGCAACAGTCCCCCATTGGGTAAAGGTATTGGTACCTTGATTCATGAGTTACTTGTATTTCTCATTTGTTATTTGCGTGACAGATTTGGAACATATTATTAAAATAAATCCTGCTGCTCTTGTTCTTGAATGATAGAATCAACTTCCACAACCGTGATGTTTATGCGTTTAATTGGCAGTTTTGAATCTGATCTAAAACCACTAATGCAACTTATAAGAAATATTTGACTCTATGCTACATTATCATGTGCTGCAGTAGTTGAGCTGTTGTATCCATTTCTCTACTGTGGTCTTAACTACAAAAACACTGGAGCCAGATCCTTGGCATTGACATATAGTTGGATATAAGTGCATTAGAGTTGGTGAGTGTCCTTCTGTGGCAGTTATACGCGATGTATGTTATGAATATTGCGTGACAAAATAGTTCATAAAATCAAATTGTAGTTCAGAAGCACGTAGGAATTAATTGTTGTATATATTCATCTCATGTAGCCCTAGACATATCTTAGTCTGAGAAATAGAAGAACAAAGAAAATAACATGTATCATCTCTCACTGGAGCTATTCATTGTACTTCTATATACCAAAACATGGAAAAACATAGCACTATGACTAGTAGAACATGAAAATACTGTGTGTATTGGTTGTTATAATGTTATAGACAGCCAGAAGTCTTTTTTTTTTTTTGTCATGGATTGTATACGGCATTTAAAGGTCATGAAAATATGTTTTTTTTTTCTTCAGAAAACGAATAAAGATTTTACAGGCATCCCCACGTCGATACTGAAAAGCAAAAGAAAAATGTGAATTCTGATAAGAGTTGGATGATGAAATCATTCTTTACTAGGCAACATACTCTGAAGCATTCAGATGGACTAATAATTGTGTTCTTTTTCAAACCTTATGGCTTAATGTATGGACAGGTGGACAATCTGTTAGCTGTAGCTTCTGTTAACTTCTCTGAGGGATTTTCCACTACTCTGGCTGACTGTTGGGCAACAGTGGTAAGCCTTAAGACATATAAGTGGAATATTGAGCAATGTTATTACTTACTGATATGGGGTGATATGTAGCGTGTTTGTGTTCTCTGCGACGTTCCGTTTTATTTTCAGTGTGCACTTTTCTATTATCTGTTTAATTTTTGCTAGGTACTAGGACAATTGGATCTGGTTCCTATTTTCAAAAGCACAATATTATCAATTCCTGGAGAAACATATATATAATGGGAGTCCAAGAAACAAGTCTCAATCAGATGCATCCTGTTGAAAGAAGAAGATGACAAACACGGCTGAGGCTTACATTTCAGTTGTGTAGGAATGTAAACTAGTGTTAGAATGAGGAATGATAGGGAATGCAGCAGAATACTGGGGTGTCCAAAACAGTACATGATCCTGCTAGTGTTTTTCTTTGGAAACAAGAGGGACTGCAGAACCAAATAGGAGCCTAACAGTAAAAAAAACCTGTAAAAACTTCACATATGATAGAAAATGGTCTCTAAGCAGCTACTTACAGCCCCTTTTAGCAAGGAAATCTCTCCCTCTGTGGATTGACGGCAGTCAAACTCCACATCTTTATGAATAGAAATAATAGAAGATGCAGTCTAGTGCTATGTTTCCATGATTCACAAATCACCAGACTTTCAAGTACTTGGACACTTTTGCATGTTCTAATTCATTCCGATAGGGCAGCATCTAGTACTCACCCTAACAATCATTATTGCTTCCTGTGCACTAAAAAGTACCTTCTGAATAATAGAGAACCTTTACATAAAACAATGTCTGAACGCTGTATTTTTGTTTTTTTTTTTAAATTTCTGGACGATCTATGTGTAAGGCCTTAATCTGTTCTTTGAAAGGATGTAGTCGTAGTGCAACAAGTGTCGCTATCTCCACTGCTTTTCCCTGCTTCACTTACCATTTGGATAATTTTTGTGCTGCTGTTATATCGCTTTTCCTTAGGTCAGATTAAAGAGATTAACTGGAAAGTTTGTTTCAATGCATCAGTGCAATATTTTAATTTCATTAAAAGCAAGCAAGAACTTGTTTCTGACATGGAAATGCTTTAAAGTCTAAACTGTCTAGTTGGAAGAAAAATTGCCATGGCTGACTTTGCATTTGCTTTATTTCAGGAAAAGAAGTCGCTCTATACATCTCCTGATGAATTTCAAAGCTTGATCAAGCAAGTGCTTTCATGGGACATAAGGTCAGTATCTCAACGAATCCAGCCTCATAACTCCCCATTGAAGATAGAAAATGGCAAAATACTAGGTAATGCTTCAGATTTGGATGTCTACCAAGATCAAGAAGGCTCTGAAAATGAAAGGCAACAAGTTTCTCTTCCTTGTGGTGACATTATGTATCATCTTATTCTGGAAGGTCTGGATGTTTCGTACAAAATTGATTGGAATGGTAATGTCCTTGTTGAGAAATTTATACCATTATCCCATGTTGAAGACAGTAATAAAATCACCACAATTACAGGACAAGCAGAGACAAACTTTGATAATGCTTGTGTGTAAGGTTTAACCATCTTGTTTTAATTAGTTAAAAACCTTGTTTCTTTTAGCATGATTTCCTGAATTCACCTTTTGTCTTGCTTCTAACAATTGAATTACAAATACTTGAGCTATATCTTCGCTAACACACGTGAGGGAGAGCATTAGGGGTGCCACATAATTATTTATACTTCAACTGTGACTTTGGTTTAGGGATTTTTTGGGTTGGGTAAAAAAAAGAGGGGTGGGGGGAGCTCATTCTGACATCCCTTTTCCATGAACTTGCAAATGCCCTGCATCATTCATTTCTGCTGGAGCTATGTCCATGGGTTGTTTCCCATTCTTTTCCCCCCCTCTTAAGTGCAACTTTTCCGTGCTCAAATATTTTATATGTTTATACAGTAGTTCTTTTCATTTGTGCATTTGTTCTGGAGGGATTCCTGGAATAGGATCATTGTGCTTTGTAGGCATTTCAAAAAAAGTTACAAAAGTAAGAATTTTAGAGATATTATGAGACGGAGAAAGAAATACTAATGTATCAGAGAGAGAGATATATTTTACTAGACAAATACACCCTTAATCTATTCCTGTACTTATTGAGGTTTTCATATCTCTTTTCAATTCTATAATATAAAAAAGAATAAATTTTAATAAATTCATCCGACATTATTAGATAGATTTATTCAATGGTCATGAGTTATTTTTAGTATAAATATGTAGCGTGACACCGACAACAGTGTAGTGTAGTGTAGTGTTGTGTGCTGATGTTAGTGGTGGGACAGTGGTGGGGGTATCAGTGGAGGCATGTGGATTTATTCTTGTGTGCTGATGTTAATGGTGGGACAGTGGTGGGGTATCAATGGAGGCATGTGGATTTATTCTTTTCTTTTTGTTTGTGACTCGTATATCTTAATAAATAGTAAGTAACATAATTTAGTCTATCCACATGCCTAGTATACACTTTTCCCTACTTGTCCAGTTGTCATGTATATGGAGAAGCATACACAATTTGATTCAGATCTTACATATTACAACTCAATCTACCTGTCGAATATAAAAACATTTATATGACTGGCTAATGTCACTTTACACCATGAAAGATATTTTGATTCTTAATTTATACATTCAAGCATTAAAAATTTTATTTTTGTTCCCTTAATGTTATGAAGTGATAGTAATATGGATCTTATTCAAACTACTGTTTAATTTTTCGTCATAAATTGAAGAGTTGCAAGTGTTTCGGTCCCAGACTTATGTATAAATTCAAATTTTTGGTGTCTTATATGAATTGTACATATAAATTTAGCCTCTATTTGATTAATATACATAAAATTATGTCAATTAATCGTAGACGAAGATTTGCACAGCGATAAATACACTTCATCTTCATGCTCGAAGTCCTTTCAATTCATGTGCTTTAATTTATGTCTGAAAATTAAACTATAATTTGAGCAAAATTCATATTGCTATCAATTTATAATATTGAAATACAAATTAAAAATTGAAATATCTTTTGACTACGAAGTGAGATTAGCCTATATGATTACATACCTTTTTTTGCAATTCAATTTTCACAAAATTTAGAATAAGTCTAATCATTCCCTCGTCAAATTTATCTGGCACAATGATCAATATTTTTAGGTCTCATTAACCATTTATTTATGGGAGAATTACAAATTTTTTGAAGTTTGTCACTTAATTATTTAGATTTTTTGATGTTTGAAATATTACACATAAATTCCCTGAAGTTTATACGCGTGTAACACTTGGACTTTTGCCGTCAAATATAGTTATTAAATTATATCTAAACCTCTTAAAGTTTATAGATGTATAATACTTAGACACCACAAGTTTTAAATGTTATACTAAAACAAAAAATACACTAATAAAAAATAGAATAATAAATATTTTAAATTTTAAAACTAAAATTTATATTTTATTGTATTATTTATTGAAATAACATTAAAAATAAAAAAATATTTGTTTTCTTAAAAAATCGTAATTAGTATATAATTATACTATCTATTATAATAAAACTAAAAAATCAAACAATGAGTCTAAATCATTCATAATAGAATATGAATTTTACAATTAAAATTCATGTTTTATTATGTCATTTATTGAAATAAATGTAATTAAAATAATATATTTTAGATTTAATTAGGATAATTTTGTAGTTTAATTTAGTCGTTTAAATAACGAAATTAACTTTCAATAGATAGTATAATTGTATATTAATAATGATTTTTTTTAAAAAATTAAATTTTTATTTTTAATTTTATTTCAATAAACATTAGAATAAATATGTATTTTGGTTATAAAATTTAAAATATTTAATATTTAATATTTGATTAGAGTATTTTTAGTTTAAGTATAATATTTTAAACTTGAGAGATCTAAGTATTATATGACTATAAATTTAGGGGATTTAGATGTAATTTATTAGATAATACAAGAGTCTAAGTGTTACTTGTGTACAAATTTTAAGAGGTTTGTATGTTATATTTCAAAAATCAAGGGTCTTTCACATTTAGAATATTACTCCTGCATCTCATGACGTTTGTGCACGTGTAATACGTAACCCCTTTTTGTTGATATATGTTAATTTAATCATTAAAAAATATAATTTTATCTTAATAAAAAATTATAATTTTATATTACCCTTTTATTTTGTGGGTCTGATATACTCTAAAGTTCAAAATCAAGCTTACCATTTGAATGTCTAATAAAATAAAGGGTTGCACATTGAGTGATATATTGTATTGGATATAAAAAATATTAATAAATATCTACAAATGGACATGCAAATGGTAAGTTTGATTTTGAATTTTAAAGTATATTGGACCAAGAAAATAAAGGGTAATATGAAATTATAATTTTTTATTAGAATAAAAATATATTTTTTAACAGTTATATTAACATATATCAACGAAAAGGGGTTACGGGTTACACGTGGACAAACGTCATGAGATGTAAGAGTAATATTCTAGTTGTGAAATGGTCTAAATGATTAAGTGACAAGTATAAGAGAATTTAGGTATAATTTATCAATTTAGTTTTAAGTGTACCTCGATATAAAATTTTATTTTTGAAAGTGTAAATTGAAATTTTTGATATTTGGGGGTGTACATCGATACAAATTTTTATTTTTAAGGGTGTAAATTGATATTTTTGATATTTAGGAGTGTATATTGATATAAATTTTTATCTTTAAATGTGTAAATTAAAAATTTTGATCTTTAAAAATACAAATTAAGGTTCAAAGAATCTTTCAGGTATAATTTGTAATTAATCCTTAACTTTATAAAAACATGTGGGTGCCCGTCATTATCAACATTTCAACTGTCCCACTCATTCACCCGATCACCGGAATACCACCTTATCCTCTTTCAACACTCCCTCTGGGCTGCTAATTGCCCCCTTCCCTTCTCTGTGTCTCTCTTCTCCTACACACACACACGCAAACCATGTAATCATAACAATTTATTGAACTTTCTTGAGCCAATCTTCAATCTTTTTGGCTTTGAATTTTGAAATATGGACTCGCCGGGGTCCGATTCAGCGGCGCGGTCTTCGGTGATCGATTCACTGAAGGGTTGCACATTGGCGGGGGTTCGAATTCCGAAGGAGGAATTGAGGAAGACGATCACTGTGCCGGAGTATTTGAGGTTGGCAATGAAAGATGCGATTGAGGCCAAGAACGTTAGTGGTGGAAAAAGACATTTTGAGGCGACTCATGTGGAAGGGTCCGAACCGTTGGAACCAGCCGAGGCCCCATTGGTGGTGTTTGTTAATTCGAAGAGTGGTGGACGGCATGGGCCGGAGCTCAAAGCTAGGTTGCAGGATTTGATGGGTGAAGAACAGGTGCCTCATTCTCTATCTGTCTGTCTGTCTGTCTGTCTGTCTATACATATATGCGTGCATGTGTGTGCATGTACGTTGTTAATTTTTATAATGGTGAGTGGTGTTGAAATTGTGGTTTGAGGAATGGTTTGTCTTATGAGTGTTTGAATAAGTAATCGTGTATGTTTATGGTTCTGGAATTGTGATGAGTGTTTGGTTTTGTTCGAAGAAGTGTGTTTTTGATTGTGGGTCTTGTGCATTTGGATGAAAGTGTGTTAAATGCATGATTGTGGCAGAAAGGTTCAATTTTTTATCTGGGTTATTGTGCATTAGGAAAAAAGTGAGTTAACTGTGTTTTTTTTGGTGATGTGGAGGGAACCTCAGTTACCTGGATTCCCTAATAAAAGTAGTACTGGGGATATCGACACTCAACAGTGGTGCTAAACAGTTGGGTGGTTGTCCCAATATTACAAAAACTTCAATCTGCTTTTCTCCTAAATTAGCTAGTCAATCTGCACACTGGTTACCCTCTCTCATGGTGTGCATTAACCTGATGTTGCCAGCTTCTATGGTGTGCATTAGGTTGATGAACTGTGTGATTTTGGACAAAAAGCTGTAGCTTCTTGGTGGGTTTGCATTTGACATATCAAGAGTGTGAAAAGTACAAACATGAACTAAGGGGATTTGGGATTGAAAGTTAGGTTGTCAAGTTGGAATTGCTTTTTTGAGCAAACTGGTTCAATTTTATTTTGTGTGCTTTGTGTTTGTGCTTGCAGAATCAGTTTGAATTTGTTTGTGGGTTTTGAGCTCTTAGGAGTTGGATAGAAACTGTGTCCACTGTGACCGTGTAAGACAAGATTGTTGAATTTTGTTTGTCGGTTTTGATACTTGTGATGGAAAGTGTGTTGCATGCGTGATGTTGGACAAAAGGATTTCTGTTTGTGCATGTAAACTTGGGATAGGAAGGATGTGGACTGTTCAATGTAATTTTTGGGAAAAGGTCCGGTTTTGTTGGTTGTTTTCTGCATTTAGGATAGAAACAATGTCAATTGTGTAAGTTGCTTGCTTTTGTGAATGCAGGATACAAAGAGTGTCAATGGTGTGATTTTAGACAAGAAGACTCGGTATTCTTTTGGGTTTCGGCAAAGTGGATATAAAGTGTGCAATCTTGGGGAAAAGATTCTGTGCGAGGGTTTTTAACATTTGGTAAAGTGTGTTGAATTAGTAATTTGGACAGAAGGTTTGATTCTGCTAGTGGGATCCGTGGATTGGGGACGGAAAGGGTGTTACTATGTAAATTTGGACAGTGTTGATTTTGGAAATTTGGATTGGAAAGCATGTTAATATAGTAAATGTGGACGGATGCAACAAAAAAGGAAAAGGTAAATTTTAACCCAAGGGTTCAATTTTGTTTGTTGCTTTTGGCCTTCGTAATATAAATTGTGTTAAACGTGTAATGTGGGCAAAAAGTTTCAGTTTGTTTGTGGGTTCTATACATTTGGGAGAGAAAGTTTGGTAAAGGTGTATTTTCGGACAATAAAGTACAAATGTTTTTCGTTTGTGGTAATGATAAAACTCATGTAGCTTCCATTGTAAGTGCCCATCAAATTCGTATCATTAGTTTGAAGGTAAATACCCTTTTTTTTTTGGGATTTTGCGATTGTTGTAGAGTTAGCAACTTTGCATTATTAATCTTCTTGTTCATCACAGAACTAGTTTCAGGGCCTCATGGGTGGAATTTGAAATTGCTTTTATTCAGATCATGCTGGCTCTTTCTATCCATATAGTTATATATGCATATAACTATAGTTGTATATACATACATATTAATGATGGGGAGCTTATTTTTGTCTAGACAAGTTACATGGTAGGATTTGGGTTGTTCTTTACATGTGCTTTTTGGTGTACTCTTGGCCTTTTTGGAAATCAAGAAACTTCAACTACATCTTGCCTTTAAATTATGATTACTAGTTACATTGCTATTTGGTGCTTAGAGAATGGGGAATATGAAGTATTTGGAAATTACAATATTAATATGGGAGGCATCAGCTATTCGTTGCACCTTATAAAGGTGTCATGCATGTGAAGGCACCCATGATGGATGCCTAGAACAGTTCTTGGGGTGGAGGAAAAAATAGATTAAGAATATCTGTGGAGGAGTTTTTCACACGATCTTGTGGATTATTTGGAAGGAACGATGTATAGATATCTTGACTAGGTGGAACTCGTGTTTTCATTGTTTGAAAGCTATTTGTTGTTATCTTTTTATTTTGTGGGCATCTTTGAAGGGAAAGGCATAAATCTTATTCTTTGGAGTTTTATGCCTACCCTTCTAGTTTGGCATTTGAATTTTCGAGCTACATTTAATTGAACTTAAAAAATATGGAATTTTTTGGTAATATTAAAAATGTATGTGATACTTGCCGCTGGACTAGCGGGTCTCTTAGAAAACATGTGTGGTCAGAATCTAATAGTTCTGTGGTTTGATGAAAGCCAGATAAGGCTAATGATAGTGCTTGCATGAAGTGCTTCAGTGAATTTCTCTTGCGTTTTTTCCTAGGTGATGCCATGTTTTTCTATTTAATTTTTTCAACATGTGCCAGGTTTTTGACCTTTCAGTTGTGAAGCCTCACGAATTTGTTGAGTATGGATTGGGTTGCCTGGAGAAGTTTGCTAGTCTTGGGGATAGCTGTGCCAAAGAGACTCGAGAAAAGCTGAGGGTTGTGGTACGTATAGGCATCGCATCCCAACTTAATGTATTAGTTTTTTAGTTGTACATATATTTATTTATATATACTAACAGTGTATCTGCATAATTCTAATAGCAGTTTCTCCTTCTACCCAGAATTGATCGTGAAGAAAACAATCTAATCTATATGTATACTGTCCGCGTTATTGACAAATTGAGAACATTTATGTGGACATTCTAAGGTACCATGTTTGTTTGACAGGTTGCTGGAGGTGATGGTACAGTGGGATGGGCCCTAGGGTGTCTTGGAAAGCTTCATGAACAAGACCGGCAACCCATTCCACCGACAGCAATTATTCCACTTGGTACTGGAAATGACTTGTCCAGGAGTTTTGGTTGGGTAAGCTTCTCAGTTGAGCAAACATTTCGGTTGACTCAGCCAGCCTTGTTGAGCTGTCTCTTGTATTCTCTTCACAGGGTGGCTCATTTCCTTTTAACTGGAAATCAGCTATCAAAAGAACTCTTGACAGGGCTAGCAATGGTCCAACGTGTCATTTGGATAGGTGAGTTTCTTTTATGTGTACTGTGTAAAGAACATATACCTGCAAAATAACGAGTCCACTATTTTGTAGTTGTATAGTTATCTAAATAGTTGACTTTCCCTTTAGCTTTGTGGGATTATGTTTGCATTTCTCACATACCTTATATATGGGATATAAAGTATAAACTAAGTCTTGGACCACTAGACGGACTTTGTGTAGGATGTTCCTTGCCAAATTTATCACTTGTATTATATCTTTCAAGTCCTGACTCATGTTTTATTATTTATGTTCGACAATCATCTACTCTAAAAGCTTGAGCTGATAGAGAGGATATAACTCAGATATTTATACTTCCATATGCCCCTCAAATGTTAGCGTCGAGATTCGAACATAGGAGGTCCTGCTTTGATACCATTTTAAACAGCAATGTACTTTAAAAGTTTAAGCGGTTATGTTGGAGAGTTATAATTCAACAATTTAGAACTCAGAACTGATTTTTAATCATGAACTACAACAGTTGAAGTGTGTTTTTATCGGTTATCATACATTTGTTGTACATTATTTCATTTCCCTTTTGAAAGTTTACTTTGGACTTCAACCAACCTGCTCGCATGCACAAGTTGTGTCTCGTTAATTTCCTTAGCAGTTATTTGAAATAGTACTTTGTTCTGCGCAGTTGGAATCTTCTAATATCAATGCCAGCTGGGGAGAAAATGGAGACACCACATTCTCTGAAGCCGACGGAAGAAGTTTCCCTAGACCAGGTTGTGAAATGGTTACAAATTATCAATTTGGCATCTTTTGCTGGACCAATTTTATTCAATCACTAGTATTCTAGGAGAATATTACAATTTTCAAAGTGCTATTCTTTTTCAAGACATAATAGTTCAATTTGTTCATCTTTCATGTTACTGGGTTTGATAACTTTGATTTGTATTCATATCATTATGATGATTCTGATTTCTACCTATTACGGAAGATTGAAGAGTCTAAATTCTGTTTCATCATGATGTTTCTGTGGGAACATCATAAAATGATTCGTCAAAAGAGTTTCCCACCTTCATATCACGTATACTCCATTTCAATTCTCGTGCATATATTTGTGTCACAGTTCAAAGTACAAGTGGATAACGATACAACTCAGCACCTTCTAATTCAACAGCATTACATGTTTCATGTAAACCATGAGTCTCACGAGACTCAACTGATTTTCTGAAATGTCTTCGAGTCAAATCCGAGTTATCTGAGTCAGCGTCACTGAATCGGCGATCAATCTCATTGTGTAGATAATATATATTCATGCAGTTTCATCATTCATTGAATATCAATCTTGATTTAATGTGTTTTCATTCTCATGTTCAATGGTTGAAACTTGATTGGGATTGTTTAGGGATTGGAAATCGAAGGGGAGTTGCCTGAGAAAGTGTGCTGCTATGACGGAGTGTTCTACAATTACTTTAGCATAGGTATGGCATTTTGTCTTTGAGAATGATGCATTGAGTCACGTACTCACATTTCAACTGTAGTTTATCTTGCCCAATTACATATTTGAAGCATATCAATGTATAAGATTGGTGTTACTATTTTGATATTCTATTACTGCTAAAATCATGGTTTAAAGTATCGGCCGAGTCGTATCCGCCTCGGCCATCACCGATCTGATTCCATTACACGGTATGCAAATAACACGAGACTCAAGCGAATCGGCCTTGACTCGGTGACGACTCGGAGATATCGGTTGAAATCAGAGTCGAATCGTTGAATCGGACCGAGTCAAACCGAGTTAGACCGAATCATCAATAGATCAATGTAAAAAACCCAAAAAAAAGAGAAGGGGAGAAGAAGAAACCAATTCCACATGTAGATTCACAGACCCAAAGATGCAGAAATCAAAGTAGCATAAATCAACAAATCCTAAAACAGAAATTGAAAGGATTTGGAGAAAAATCTGTAGATCTTGTACAGTTAGTGAGTTATATATAGCGGCTATACTGTACAACCCATTCTTCTCCATTCGAGCATCAAAGCAGCGACTCCGATGACAGCTGATTCTTCTACATTCGAGCATCAGAGCAGCGACGCCGACGACAGCTCCTCCTTCTCCATTCGAGCGTCAGAGCAATAGCCTTCTTTTTTTCTTCGCGCAGGCAACACCGACAGTAAGTATATAAGACTCTCTCTCTCTCTCTCTCCGCCGCTTGGAGCTTTTGTGCATTGGTTGGTCCAAGTCTCTCACGGTCTCACCTGAGTCAAGTATTATTATACTAAATATTATTATATTAGACAAATAAGGGTTTCAATTTTTAATAAAATTATACTCTTATTAATTATATGCATATAAAAACAGATTTTACAATTAAAAACATAATGCATATGTAATTTATAAGTATGATCAAATTTTCCAAAAAAATTTATATATTTTGAAGCATAAATTAACATAATGTTTTCTGTATTTTTTCAAATTTATTGATTATGTATAATTAACTATTAAAGTTATATTATATCTAGATTTATTCTTATGATGAAAATAATTTACCCGATTTGTATAGTTAACTTAGAGACATTAATTATGATTTGAATCTTATCTATATAGGATATATGATGCATGGATTACGTTATATATATTTTTTAGATTTTTTGTAATTTTATTAGAATTTTTTGGGCCTCCTATCAAGTATTTTACTCGTATCGGCCGATACAGTGTCGCGATGCCGTGACCGATGTGTATCAGTGCCCTCTGAGTTGAGAGCCGATACCGCGACCTTAAACCTTGGCTAAAATCTTGATTCTTGCACAAGGGAAGCTTTTAGCTCTGGTTCATAAAAACTGGGAGGACTAACAAAAATGAGGCATTTGCATGCCAAAAGAATTCCTTATGTTTGGAACTTAGTATAAACTTCTTTTCTTGCTATGATGTTCATTACTCTTGTTTTTTTACAAATTGAATGTGCATAATTAGTTAGATGAAATTTTACTTTGAATTATCATTTTCTGGATATTTTTCTCGTGTAAAGTTGGCCCTGATCAAGTAATATGACTTGCATCACCCAGGAAAATCTTACACCATAATGAGATTTTTTTAACTAAATCTTGCTCCCGCCATATTCTTTTTTAAGTAACTATACTCTTGAGCAAAAAAAAAATTGCAATACGCCCCACCCCCTTGGTCAAAAAAAGGTTAGTAAACATGAAGTAGATGGAGTATGTTGGTGTAAATTCATCTCAATTTTAATGTGGAGTGTCATCACTTGCTTATGAATTATAATTATTTACTATTTTTTATTTTATGTTTCATTCTTAATTATGTATGTGTAATTTTTTTTTGGTATTCGGATTCAGGAATGGATGCACAAGTTGCTTATGGTTTTCACCATTTACGCAATGAAAAACCTTACCTTGCACAAGGTCCTATTTCAAATAAGGTTTAATTTGTCTTCTCTTCAAATTTCTTACTGCACTGAAATGCTGTTGTTAATGCACATATAGCTGGGGAGCTTGATTCTGGTTGGAGTCTCTAATTGCAAAGATATTTTCTTTGCAGAAATATTAATGTAAGTGAGAAAGAAAAAATATGCAAGACAGTGTGCAGAAGTTAAAAGCACTGTCAAAGAGGAGAAAGAGGAAGAGTAGTTCTAAGAGAAGCACAATAGGTACCAGAAACGCACCTTTCTCCCAATGTCCAAAAGCCTACAAGACCTACTTAATTGTTAGATATTGGAGGCCTTTGTGTAACCACTCTTCAATTACTAAATCTTAGGGCTAGAGTCTAGATGATTAATATTAAAGCAAAGAAGAAGTAGTAATGCATCCTGATTCTGTAGATGACAATTTTTATATATGTGCTTCCTTTTTACCGAAAGGGAAAAAAACCACTCTTGTTGCTTAATTACAATTGATAAGGAGAGAAACTTGGAGAGTTTTGAATCAGAACTAACAATCTTGACCCTTATTTTTTACCTAGATACATAGATCTGCTAATTCCAACAGAAAATTGAGGCATCTCCTTGAAGATGCCAAATTTTTTTCCTTTTTTCTTGAGATTGAAGTGAAAAATAGGAGAATTGTGAATCATTCTAGAAATCTTGACCTGAATTTTGAATATGTAGAGGTAGAGGTAGATCTGCCTATTTCAGGAGATAATTTGAGGCAAATTAACCTCCTAGCAGATTTGAAATCTACTCATCTCTCTGAGGCCTAAAATTTTCCCCTTTCTCCCGAGTCTGAGGTGAGAAAATAATCATCCTAGCAATTTTGACGCTGATTTTGTCGATAGAGAGGTGGATCTGCAAATTTTCAGCAGATAATTTGAGGCAATTTTACCCCAAAAATGTTGGGATAAGGCTTTGTTGAGTTGAGTTGGTTTTGAGGCAATTTTTCTAGCAAAAATTAGCCAAACTTTGAACTTTATGCTGGAAATGTCAATGTTGTAACAAGTCTTGGCAATGGTTTAATAAGACAAAAAATGAACTTATGTTTCTCATCAGAAGATCTGTTTGCAATTGCCCTGACCAAACACTATCCAAGCCCTAGAAAGGAGGCTTCCCAAGACTCTTTCAGAAGCATGGGCACAACAGACGGGGAAACTTCGTAAGTCATTTATAAAGCAAAACTTGTCGCTCTACTTTTCGGGAAAGTTAGGATACTAATTTTTTTTTTAGGTTTTTTGGTAATTTTTATCAATATTTATGTATCTTATTCACAAGAGAGATGTAGGCTTACATCGGGATTATGTGGTTATTATATCTTATCATCAAGCCGTTTCCATATTTCTTCCCGCTTCTATATCAAGTTGATTGTCGTTATTTCTCACAATGTATATTGGCAACCACATGCATCTCTCCAGCTGTGCCACTAAAAGTGTTTAACATACGTCATCTGATAGTTTTCACTACCCTGTGTGTACAACTTCAAGGTTTTATCTGTCCTTTTTATCACAGATCATTTACTCTGGATACAGTTGCAAACAAGGTTGGTTCTTCACACCTTGTATCACTGATCCAAATTTAAGGTCAGAACTGTCTCCCACTTAGTTCTTTTCTTTTGATGCTCGATTTTATGGTATGTCTTTACTTGTTATTGCACTATATTGACGTTTGTGGTGCATCATCAAGCTTCTTCTTTTCTGCCCCTGTGGAATTGTGTACGACATCTCATATCGATGCATCCATAAAACACATTGTTTTCTTGTAGGAATTTGAATAAGGACGTAACATGCACATCCTAGACTTATTAATCGACAAGCGTGCAATGAACGCCAAGGGAGTAATGATTTAAAAAGCTTGAAACTTAGTGTCTCGAGGCTTATGCCTCCCTTGGAGGGGTTAACTGCTTGCTTTAGGATTACTCTTTTGAAACTGTGATGAGGCCAGCTTCATCTGGCAAGAATATCTTCAATTAATCTTTTTTAATTTATTTTAATTGTATTTAGGCAAAAAATGCAGGTACTATTTTCCTTTGTTGGCGGGGTATTCTCTGTTAAGCACAGGTGGCTGGAGATTGTTGACACTTGACATGTTCCCAATTCCCACTGTCTACATGTGTTCGACTCGTGTATGATAGCCTAATTATCAGTTCAGGGCTAGTGTTCTTATAGTTTTTGGTCAATGAATGAAAGTACTGCAGTTATCATTGTCCCTAATGCTTAATTTTTCCTTTCATGTGCATAGTTGCATACACACCCTCATATGTAAATACTCTCTGATAGTAGGTCCAAAAAGGTGCACAAGTATACCTTGTTTTCTAAATGTTGGATACTGCATTGTCTAACACTCTTACTTTCCACTTCTGTGCTAACATAAAAATTGGATGTGTGGCCATACATTTGGTTGTCTTGTTTAAGACCATGTCCAATAGTACTTTCTATTTGTAGAGAGAATCTTTTTTGAAATACTGAGTATCTTCAATAAAATCTTGAAATAGATAGTAAAATATTTTAGACAACTCCAATGGACTCTCTATTTTAGTAGAAAAGTAGTTTTATGGTTAATAATATTTAATGAAGAATGTATTTGTGTCGTCTTTTTATTCATTAAAAATAGAATAGAGGGAGAGAGTTGAGCTCTCCAAATGGAGAGAGCCAAATAAGCCTCTGTATTTCAACTAGTCTAAATAGAGTCTATTGGAGCCTAATTTTTAGTGGCCGACTTTAAAGTATAGAGTTGCGTGGGAATAAAGAGCCTTTTGAAGATGCTCTTAGTGTAGTTCTCCACTTGGAAGTTATGATTCAAAGCCGTATTTTTTCAAGTAGATATATGCTAGTTAGGTTGATATTTTTCTTGAATGAATAGTATTTTTTTCCGCTTATTTGCAACCAACAACTTCATGGATGCAGGGGACTAAATAACATTGTAAGGATGCACATTAAAAAGTTTAATTGCTCAGAATGGGAGCAGATTCCCATCCCTTCAAGGTTGATTTCAAACCTTTCTCTATTTTCAAACATCTCCAGTTGTGATTGTTACCGTCATTCTTGTCGGTAGAAGTCCATATCTCAATATTTGCTTGCTATATAGTGCCTTCAGTAATGAATCTTCTTATTTATTTCTTCTTAGGTACTTTACTCCCTCCCTCTGTATGTGCGCGTGTGTGCGATCATGCATGGCATCATGATTTTTATGTCAATATTTTACGATCAAACTTAAAATAATGGGTTTGTTTGGAGCTGACTTTTTTAGGTGAAAAGTTATGGGTTAAAAAGCTTTACAAAAAATTCAGACTTAGAAAAGTCCCCAAAACCGTTTAGGGTGTGTTTTAAAAAGCTGAAAAAGTTAGAAAAATCCGTTTGGAGTGACTTTCTAACTTTTTTGACTTTTTTGTGTCATAAAAAAGTATGAATTTCAATTGTTTTTACATCACTAATAATATTTTTTGAATATAATAAACTAAAAAGTTGTGTGAGACCTGCGACAAAACTCCAAAAAAGCGGGAGAAAAACTCATAAAATCAGCTTAAATAAGCTTTTATTGGTCCAAAAAGCTGCCGGTAAAAAAGTCAAGTTTCAAATGGACCTGACCTATTTTGCTCAAAAACCCTTAAAAGCTACCTATTTAAGCTAGTTCCAAACAGACTCAATACTAGGCATGCTCCTAATTGCCGGGCTTTTTCCTTATATTTCATTTTTCTGTGTATTATTTTCTTCTTGACCTGATAGTTTTTTTATTCTTTCAGTGTTAGGTCTCTAGTTGCTTTAAATCTTCATAACTATGGAAGTGGAAGAAATCCTTGGGGAAATTTGAAGCCAGACTATTTGGAAAAGGTATCATTTGTTGGTCATATGTAATACAAATGGGTTGCTTACTAGCACAATGATGATTCATTTTAAAACCTTTTTTATACCTCTTTAAGGTGAATCATAGGTGCCCGTTTAACTGTGTTGACAGACAAATCAAAACAGAATCTATGTTATTGAGCAATGTAAACTTGTGTGATTCAATTACCGGAGGGCCTAATGCTGTTTAAAATCCTTTAAAAAAAATAAAAAAGGTGGATCTGATCTGTCATATAGTTTGACATTTTGATTGCATAGACATGATTCTATTTCTTTTACTCTCATCCTTAGAATACGAGTTGTGGACATGATAATGGGTGTGCATCAAAGAACACACATGTTGTCTGTCTAGAACCTGCTCCTGGTATCGTCCTTCTCTCAAGCAAAATGCAATAAAAATGAAAGTTTGTCCAGTACGCATCACAGTGAGAACGGTATTTTCTGGAATAGAATTAGCAAGTTGAATTGTTCGGGGGATGAGGTAAAGGGAAATCCTAAAAGGTTACAGCGATGTGCAAAACTGGTAATAAGTCTCTGTAGCAGTTGCTGAATGGATTGTCTTGTTTCTATTTCACTTGGTGGGAACGAGTCTACATAATAGATGTGGTTCTTTGTTAGCATAGTTTTATGGTTGGGGTAGGTATCTGATTTAAGCTTTAACACATGTTCCCCATGTAAAGGCAACATGGACTCATAAGTCGTCTACAACTTAAACTTCACTTCCATCGGGCACAGAGTCCTCTGTAAATGTAACAACTTCTCCCCCTGGTGTTTTTTTTTTTTTTTTTTGGGGGGGGGGGGGGGGGAGTGGTGGCAAAAAGCAAAAAAAAAAAAAAAAAGAAATCCTGGAAAGATAGTTGTACCCCTTGATTTCTCTGTGTTTTTTGCAAATTTAATTTGTTTTGCCCCATTAATTCCTTTATTAGGCTCCTGACAGTACGAAATACAAACCTTTGCATGCACATTTCTTCTTTTGTGCTTTTTCTCCACTTGTTTTTTCTTCCTTTCCGCATTTGTTATGCTGTAATTACTGCTGTGCATCACTTGTGGTATATATTTGTGCCTCAGTAATATTTTGTTTCAATTTTAAATTATCTTGGGCAGGAACATAAACTGGTACCTCTATTTAAATGTCTTAATGATATATAATGATGAGTCACAAGCTGAAAGTGGTTTCTTTGCTATTTATTGTTCTATGTTTCAGAGGGGCTTTGTTGAGGCCCAAGCTGATGATGGCCTCTTAGAAATTTTTGGCCTAAAACATGGATGGCATGCTTCATTTGTTATGGCTGAACTTATATCTGCCAAACACATTGCTCAGGTACTGGAAGTTCTATTGTTTTCTTGCTTTTTCTTTTTTGATTTGTTGTGTCAATGCCGGTAGTTGCAAATGTATTGTTTTCCACATTGTTCATCTGTGTTAGATTGGCATTGGACACCGTTAGGGTTATGAAAATTTTGAGAAACAGTGGAAGGAACCAGGGGCAGCACGGCTGCTGATGTGGCATTGCCCTCTTAGTCTTTGCCTTTCTTTTCATTTTGTTTCCTGTTCATGAGCCTAACCTAACCATCACTAGTTGGATGACTTGTAGGCGCAGCACACACATTTCCTAGAAGCCATCCTAATCTGCTCAGAATTTTGATCCAGGTCACATAAAGTAATGCTGTAAATGACTTTATAAGACTGTAGAGACCTTCAAAACGCGCGTGCTTGTGTTGTCTTTATTTTATGCTTATTTAATGGATGACCTTGTTGCATGCAATCCTATCTAGACAAGTATGGCCTCTCTTGTCCACAACATTGGCTATATGTAGTAGTTTTCAAATTTCTTAATATGAAAAAGTAAAAAATGTTTCTGAATATTTTTTCTTGACTAGTTGATGCTTGAAGTTGTCTTGACATTAAATTTCTGAAAAAGTAAAAAGAAAAACACGGTGCCGGTACTCCCACCCATAGTGCCGTTTGCATCATATTGCATTTAGGGGTGCAACTTGGGCGGGCAAACCCGAACCCAATCCAAAAAATTCAGTATTTGGCCAAAAGTCTTCAGTACATGGGTTGGGCGTTTGCAAAAAAATTTCTAACCCGATTTTAATTTGGACAACACTTTGGTTGTGGTCTCGTGTTGCTCGACTTCAATCTGAAGAAACCATGTATACAAAAGAGAGGGGATTCACTATTTGAGGATGACACTTTCACTTGATCGTCTCTTGCATCTTCACGCATGACCTTGTAGCTCTGAGCTCTCTCTCTCTTTCACACCGGTGATGGCACCCTGCTCTCTGGTTGTTTTTTCTCCCATTATGGGTTGCACTCAGTTGCCTTGCACCTTTTACCTCCCCCCCTTCATCCTCCTCCTCCTCAAAGGTCCACCTTTCAGTGTTCTAAGTTGTGCTGTGGATGATATTATTTGCTACTGTATGCTTTTAATACTCAACTGTTAACGAATTTTATCAACAACTCAGGCTGCAGCACTTAGATTGGAGCTCCGAGGTGGAGAGTGGAAAGAAGCTTTTATGCAGATGGATGGGGAGCCATGGAAACTGCCAATGAGCAAGGATTATACAACAGTCGTTGAAATTAAGCGGGTACCATTCCAGTCGGTTATGATCAGTGGAGAGTAACTTCAACGGCTTTCCTCAACTCAGCTATAGATTCCTACACTATTTGGTTAATGCTCTCTGGCAATCCATGTAAAAAAACAATTTGTCTCCTGAGGGCTTCCAATTATGTTCATATTGATGTGGCTAGACAGCTAGTATAATTGGCATCAACGAATCATTGTACCAAATTTACTGTTAATAAATCCCTGTTTTTTGCATCAATTGCTAACACCCAATCAGAATTATCTATTAATTCAATCCTACCTGTGGTAGTGTGCTTCAGTTGTAGGATCTAGAGGGATTATGAGTTAACAAGGAAGTGATCATGCAACAATGTGGCAGTTATAGATTTGTGCACGATTAGAACTTAATCATGGTGTCATCAACTCATTGTCACCTCCCCTTGAAGAGATCTTGCTTAACTTTACTCATGCTACCATTCCTTCCTTCAAACAAGCAAAGGAAAGCACCTTAAACACTAGTGTAAATCCGACTGATGTGGTAGTGATAGTTCCAGTTCATGCACTCCAGAAGCAAGCAACGGATAGTTTACACAGATGGGACACGAGAGACAATAGGATTGGTTGGCCTTTTTCTGACAGATAAAAATAATATAGATTTACTGGATACGGGAGACTTTCCAACTTTTAGATGATCTATTCCAGATTTGTTACTAAAAGAAGGCCTATATGTGCCGGGACAAGTCTTTGAGTGCTGGTTATCTACTTGAGGAGAAAATCATTAGGGTAACCTTTACTTTATACCAATTCTTTGTGAAGGTAAACTACCACAACACTAATTCAAGTTTAAAAATACCGCAAATTTTACCTGCTCAACTAAAAATGGACTCTCAGGCAATGGTTTTGTCACTACACTATTTTATTGTACTTTCTTGGTGGGTAGTTTTTCATTCTCTTTTTTATCTTCACTACACTCTTAGCCCATGGTTTTGCTACATATTATCTTTACTGTTGCATGTTTTTCTCAAAAAACTCACATGCTTCTACAGCCTGTACGTTCATATCGAATCAATGCCTGTTTCTTGTGATGTGAGTTAGATTTTCATCGAGCTCTTGCACTTGGTGGGTTCGTAGGTCTGGTAATGAAGTTACTAATGTTGTTTAATGATTTACACGGTTTGGGGATGAAGTTTCGAAAATTTCATTACATCACACTCCCTCCAGTGTGATGTATCTGTTTATTGAAGTTTGAATGAGGTTCTCCGTAGTTTTATATATAATGATATAACTATATATTTTGAAACTTGGTGAATATATTTCCCTTACTATATGTCTATTGTCTCTTCCTATATACTAATGACAATGATAATGTAAACTAATACCCTAATAGGTACTGCAATCTCATTGCCAAGTAACATCACTATCAAAAAATAAATATTAATTTTTTTTTTTAAAAAGTAACATTACTACACCTAACCAATCAGTGAACTACTGAGAGGGAGAAACAATCCAGAACCAGTAAATGAAGGATTAGGTGCAGTTTTCAATTGAGATTTTGAAATGTTAACCAAATAAATTACAAGGATTTCAACTAGAGAGTCGGTCTTTTTTTTTTTTTTTTTGCATAAAATTGCCCAATATGTCATATAATTTATATGAATAAAGTTATTGTACACTTTCGAGTTGGGTAGAAGAATTACTCATGGCAAAAGTAACGATGCATAATGCTAGTGAATAAAAAACTACTAAACGCCCAATGCAAAACAGTAGCTGAATTATTGTTTCAGGCATGAAGTTTCTCTATTCTTCGTTTTTCTTTTAAAAATGCAGAATCATACTAATCACATTTTTTTCGTATGTCTGTATGGTTTAACATATCCATCATTATAGAAGCTTTTTAAAAAGATTACGTGTGCGCTGCACGTGCATTGTGTGTGTGAGAAAAAGAGAAAAATCATGTCGATGCATTAAGCAATGTAGTCTTAAATAAATAAGATGTCCTATATATATATATATTATATCACCGTGAACAAAATAATCAATTTCATAAAAACCTTTTCTCTCAGTTTTTTAATGTCCTTTAATTTTAAGTTGTTAGATTTGAAAAGAATAGTTTACTCTAATCACATTGTGTCATGTGTCTATTATGAGCAGCTTTTTATTCTCCTACTAATTAATCACTTCAACATGTTTAAGAAAAATTCTTTTTTCCACTGAATAAATTTTGGTAACTATCTATCTAACTTCTCAGGTGAAGGAGGAGATATATATATATATATATATATTTGTTGTGGTATTGAAGCCAAAGCTTTGGGTAAAGAAGTACGTTCCGGGTCTTTGATAAAGAACATGTGCTGTCTGTGGAAGGCCCACGCTCGGGCGAAGTGTTATAACATATCAGCTATCCAATTTCTTTATCGGCAAAAAACCCACAAGGGAGAAACGAAAATAAGAACGAGATGCTATATTATACATCTTGTGCATTGCACGGGTTTGGCCGCTAGCATTGATTATTTTTTACTCTGTATGTCTAAATGGTGAAAACCACTCACGAACGAGAGAGAGAGAGAGGGGGTTCCGGGGGGGACATAAACTTTATCTTCTTCCCCTGCTTGCTCTTGTTTTTCTCTAACATAATGTGGTTGTGCCAATAGATTCCAACATTTCACATAATAAGATGCTGGGCCCCACATCTTTTGCTTAGATAATACTAGTTGAGGTCTTCCATTAAAATGAAATAATTCACTAGTGGCCAATCCTACCACCTTGGAACCACTCCACTTAAGTGCCCTATCCACCACATATTTTGTTATTATTGTATTAAGACAATATTAATTAATTAATTAATTAAAAGAGCTTCTTATTTCAGGATAAAATCCTATTCTCTTCTTTAAGCCTTTAGAATTAAAAAATAACACAATAATTACAATCATAATAAGAACACAAAAGAGCTGTTTGGGAAATAAGAGCAGCCAAAAAGCAATTATGATGGTGGTAACCTACTCAAATTCGTTAAATAGCTAGGGATCCAGACTCTTTTTTTTTTTTTTGGTACACTTTTCTTTAAATTTTTTAATTGTAAATTACCTGATGATGCACAAAAATAGTTTTGCACACCACCTGTCAAGTGTAGATAATAAATGCAATGAAATCAACGAAAAAATTAAAGAAATCACAATTTATAGTGGTTCGGTCAATTCGACCTACGTCCACTCTTCAATGGCTTCAGTCGCCGAGTATTTTATTGATTCAAAGGTATGGAGAATGGAGATACAAGCTTTGAGAGAGAGAATGGAGAATCAAAGAAAATAGTAATCTCTGGTAGTCGGTTCGTCTTCTGTCAGTCTCTGATGGAGCGTGATCCTCCTTTCTACCAGCTTGGAGCTATTTTATAGCAGCTAAGAGATCATTCTTGTGGAGATCATGACATATCCTCAAGGCTTCTTTATCGCAGCTAAAAGATTATTCTTGGTGGAGATCACGACTTATCCTCAACGGAATGGAGGAGGTTGGGGAGCTCTTCATGAAACGTGGTCAAAAATTGGACCGTTTCCTTCGGTGGTGCAGATAAGCTTCCCGTGCTCTCCTCTTGGTGATGTGCTAAGCAAGAAGTCTAACCGGCCTTGGACTGTCTTGAACTTGGTGGATTTGGACCGTTTCCTTTGGCGGTGCAGATAAGCTTCCCGTGCTCTCCTCTTGATGACGTGCTAAGCAAGAAGTCTAATCGGCCTTGGACTGTCTTGGACTTGGTGAATTTGGACCGTTTCCTTTGGCGGTGCAGATAAGCTTCCCGTGCTCTCCTCTTAATGACGTGCTAAGCAAGAAGTCTAACCGATTTTGGACTGTCTTGGGCTTGGTAGAATCAAAATGAGGTTGGGCTCCTCAACTGGGGTTGGACTTTAACACATAAATTGGACTATTTGGCTTAACCCATCATTTGCCCCCCAATGCCCCATGTCCAAGGAGACTTGGAGAAGGAGGCATTGATTACATTTTTTTTTTCAAGTCTTTTCCACTTTATTTTAAAGAAGGCCCATAATATTCTGTTTGGCCTTTTGTTTTGAAAATGACTTATAACTTTCTTTTTGACCACTTTATTTTGAAGAGGGCCCATAATTTTCTATTTGCCCACTTTATTTTGAAGAGGGCCCATAATATTCTATTTGAGCTTTTTTCCTCTTTTTGAAAAACCCTAAACTATAAATATAGTCTTCTTCTTCATGTTACCCATTTCACTTATTTTTAAGGTTGAGCACCCACCTCTTGAAAATTTTGAGAACTCAAGTCCTACCCATTTTGTTGAAGCCAAAGTGTGTTCTCCTTGAATCCTTTCAAGAGTGTGATTTCTTCCTTGCTAGTTGAGCTTCTCAAGTGAACAATGTCGATTGAAGAGGGAGTGGTGGAGGTTGAAGAAAGGGAGGAAGTAGGCACCATTTTGGAGAACTTGGAGGCTAGTTTTGAGCATTCGAATGCTGTCTTGGACAGCTTTGGGGCTGAAAATGAAGGGCTGGACAGCGAAGGGGAGATGGGCAGCGTGAGGAGTGGCTTGGGCAGCGCAGGGAGACGGCTGGGCAGCGCAGGCCTGCGGCTGCGCAGTGCAGGAGCGCAGCTGGGCAGCGCGCGCGTGCGCGCTGGGGGCTTAGGCGCTGGGGGCCTGGGCGGCTGCCTAGGCTCTGCTCCTCCTGTCCTGGACAGCCCAGGCGGGCTGGGCAGCTGCCTGGGCGCTGGCCTTGCTGTTCTGGACAGCCCAGGTGCGCTGGGCAGCAGCCTAGCTGCTGCTTCTGCTGTCCCGGACAGCTTCAGATCTGCTGCGCTGGGCGGCTTTGGACGCTGGGCAGCAGCATTTTTCCATCAAGGGGCGCTAAAAATCAGTCCAAGGTTCGTCAGGGAGAGCTAGGCAGTGGCCTGGGAGCACGGGCTGATCCGATTCCCACTCGAGGCGCTGATTTGGGCGCCTTAGGTGCTGATTTTTGCGCCAAAAATTTGCTTTGCGCAATATTGAAGGGCCAAGCACCCTTCAAGCTACTGGGCAACTTTGTTTTGACGAGCAACAGCAGTCAGGCACACTTTCAGGCGTTGGGCTAGACATTGCAAGTAGTAAGGAAGCTTTGGGTGCTGCCCTTGATGATCAAGCCCCTATTGTAGCTCCCCCGATTCAAGTTCCTCAAGACTCTCCCAATGGTGATTTGGACTACTCCTTAAGGCCCCGGAAGAAGAAACGCAAGAGCAAAGTGGGACTTGATGATGACGGGTCTAAGGT